TCTTCTCCAGGCTGAATAATCCAAACGCTCTCAGCCTGTCCTCATAGGAGAGGTGCTCCAGCCCTCTGATCATTTTCATGGCCCTCTTCTGGACACGCTCTCAAAGGACCACGTCCTTCTTGTGCTGGGGGCTCCAGAGCTGAACACAGGACTCTAGGTGAGGTCTCACCAGGGCAGAGCAGAGGGGCAGGATCACCTCTCTCCACATGCTGGCCACACGTCTTTTGACACAGCACGGGATGCAGTTTTGCCTTCTGGGCTGCCATTGTGTATTGGTGGCTCATGTCCAGCTTTTCATCCAACTCCAAGTCTTTTTCCACAGGGCTGCTCTCTCAGAAGTCCCTCAGAAGCTCCTTGTGCTGTGCTCCCTGCAGGCACCACGCTCCTACTGCTGGACATTTCCCAGCTCTGTTCTGGTGCAGGCGAGTTTCCTCTAGCTCCCCAAAGTATTGTGTGACCCCCAAATGGCAGATCTACAGTACTCCAGGAGCTCACACCTGGACAGACTTCACACGGAGAGACACAAAGACAGCCCTCCGTTTTTACAGCAGGAACGACGCAGGAAGAAAACTGCCCAAGTCAGTTCACAGAGCCAGGAAGCTGAATCAGACACCCTTAAGGATAACATCCCTCAGGCTCAGCATATAAATTATCAGCTCTAAAGGTAAAGGTCAAGTTGTTTACTTCTAAGGAGCAGCCACTAAGTCAGCTGCTAGCCCTTGCAAGATGCAAAAAGTGCTGCTTCTTCGGGGACTTTGCTACCAGTAGCCTGTGCAAGCCCAAAACCCAGCTATTAAAAAAACCAAACAAACAAACAAAAAAAAAAAACCATGGCCATGAGATCTTTTGTGCCACATCAGCAAGACATCCAGCGTCTCTGCCCCTTCCCCTGAAGAAGAAACCTGTGCTTTCCAGGCCTTCCACACCCAGCAGTGTTGAGGTAGCTGGGGTGACTCTGAGGGTGCAAGCTTACACATGCTGAACTCCATCCACCCTGGGAGAAGGGACAAAGGACCACCAGCTGCCATTATCATCTGATGTCCCCCCTCTTCCACGCTGTAATACATATGGCCAACACCACCAAGTCTCAATGTCTAAGCCAGAAGCTGATTTCTGCAACTAGGACTGTGTCATGGCTAATCCTACACAGGTATTCCACAGAGTGCTTGTGCTCCTTGTCTGGCACTGTTCTGGGCTGCACCTTCCTCCAACAAGCCTTTATATATGTGCCCCTTTTCAATGAAAAGATGAGAACATCCTCCCTTTCTCACCTATTTCTAGCAGTCACTGATCACTTAACAGTAATCATTCTCTATTTCCAGCCCAGATGTTGCTCACCCTTGCAAAGCATGACCCCAGGCAGAAGGACTGAGCTCTCCAGCCTGGGCCTACAGCCCCCACCTTCCGAGGCCACAGAGGATGGGTGTTGTGGCTGGGGAGAAGCAGGAGCCACAGCACACCCATCATGCACAGGCTGCGTACCTCAAACCACTGCTGCTCAGCCCAAAGGGTCTTCCAACAGCAGCCTCTGAAACAAAGCCCAGTGGTTCATGAGCTCTTCTGCAGCATGGGCAACAGAAACGGTGTGAAGTTTAAGCTGTTCCACATGTCAAATGCAGCTTTCGTTTTAATACAGAGAGTGAGCCATAGGAGGTTTTTTCTTCTCCAAGGGCCAGCTGGACAAGCTGTATCCACTGCTACTCCACACAGGCCACAAACCATTAGATTAAAAAGCACCATCACCATGAAGTGCTATTTCACCATCAGATTTTGAGAGCTCAACAGTAACTATTTTCATCTGCGTGATCCACTCAAGACCAAAACAAAATGCATAAGGACTCTTACACATCATCACACTGGCTACCATCCACAGCATAAGAGCCCACTTCTAGTTTGCCTACACAGTGAAATAACTTCAAGCATAAAATTTCAAGTACATCAAATTTCCTAGTTTTCAGTGTGGACATCTTTGTTCAGGAATACTAATGCATTATTTGACTTTGCTTAATCTAGTGAATTAAGCTACTACATCTAGGAAACCAAAACATCTACCCTGAAAGGAAAGCATCCGCACAGGTAACTGACGGGAAACCCCACAGGAACTGACAAGCCACATTGAATCATGCCAGACCAGCTAGGCAGGACTGTAACAACTGGATTAAATCTAGGTGTCAGGTTTTGATATTAGATGTTCAGCTACACCAATAGATAGCATAACAGATTTTTTAAAAATTAGCTTCTTTAGGAATTCCCATTCTATATTAGACATTCCTGGCAGCGACTGTTACACAAAGCCTCACTGAAAGCTCTTTCAGAAGACTTCTGTTAAAGTGTCACAGGACAAAGATCAGGTTTCAGTTTGGTGGATGGGCTGAAAAGCAGCAAGGAGGAAAAACTGTGTTTAGTGGGAGAATCAAGAGAAAGAAAAAGCCTTTGCAGACAGACACAAAGTAATAGCCTTGACTTCATTTTACACATATTAATAAATATTTTTGTACATTACATCACTTCAGAGAAAGCAACACAAACTCGAGGCTCCTAAGGTGGGTTCAGAGACCACACATGGCTACAAGAAGGCAGTTCAAAGACAGGACTCACCAGAAGGCCTTTGGTATGGGTGCTGCTTCTGCAGCACTCCAGTTGTGTTAGCTTAGGTTTAACAACAAAGCCATGCCTCCTACAGCATGAGCCAGGGCTCTTGGCGAGAGGTGCAGCCAAACCCTTAGCTACTGTCCTCTCCAACTTCCCAGCCTACTCCTTTGCTGGTTCACAGGTTTGCGAACAGAGACTTTCAGTGTCATCAGTTCCCTGATCCAGTCTGATACGAGATCATTTAAGCCACCAAGGCAGCAGAGTGGCCTCAAAGCCAGACTGTCCAATGCAGGAGAACTACTCTTCCTTCAGCTTCTGCTAGCATATCCCTTTTTGTGACTAGAGCAAAAAAGCCATGAGCACCAACCAAAGATGTTTTACATGACAGACTTTAAATTCCTCCCTCCCCCCTGCCGAGTACTAAGAAATGTCTGTCAGCCATCCCAAAACTAGATGCATTTCCCAGGGAAAACCCTGATTGCACTTTTGAGTCCATGTGGTGGTACTGGTGGGAAGATCAGCATGCTGATGCTTCCTCCTGCTGA